ATATATATAAGTAAAAGCCATTTATTTTGACAATTGGCAAAAAGAAGAACTTATATATATATATATATATATATTTATATATTATTCTTTTTAAAATCTGGCATAAATCAACATACAATGTACTTTGAATTTGTTTAAACAGTAATACTTTTGAAAACTGTTTCTTGTGTTCAATCTCTTTCTTTATACAAATTGAGAAATTTGTAATATTTCTTAGTCAAATCTCCTGTTATATACCAGACCTATTTTATTCACTATTGGGAAAATTAGTTTTACTTGAGAATACCATATCATCCATAATGATTGGTCAGAAGACTGATAAATTATTACCTGCTAGCTTTGCTACAGATAAATTTCAGAAGGTTCACAAAGTACCTGTATTATAAGTCAGTCTTGTTAGAGATCAATATTATCCTTAACTTTTAGCCAGAAGACTGGAGAATTCTTGCCTATGAGTTTTACTACAGTAACTATGTTATTTTAATTAGAAGAACAGCTTTAAACCTAGAAAGCTACATCTTTTTTACCTGCCATCTTTGCTGCAGACTTATTATGTTCTCCATAGCATTTATCCTGATTTTAAATTGAGTCTGAGAATTTAAAAGTTTGTCTCTTTCTTTCTGAAGCTTTTCTATTTGGCTTTCAAGCTGCTTCTTCCATTCTTTTGTTGATTCATCTTCTAAGTCACGAACCTGTGGAGTCACTTGGGTACCAACATAAACATGAAGTTTGTCCAGGTCTGACTGTTTCAACACAAGTTCATCATGGAGGATTCTGAAAGTAATCAATTAGACTCAGTTGATATAATTAAAATTCACAAATATTATTAATTATTAATGATTATTAATTCTAATTCCATCAATTTCTAAAAGTTACTTCACAGGTATAGTTACTCTGTTCTTGGAGCCTTTGGAAAAATAGAAAAGTGTATTAAATACTTGATCTTCAAAGAAAACTGTATCATAATATTCTAGATAAAAAGATTTCCTTAGGAAGTTAACATTTTCCTTCCCTGAAAATATTCATGATAGATAACTCTGCACACAGAATAGCTTGATTCCTCGTGCATTTGCCTATGAGACTGCATGACACTAGCTAACTTCCACTTTTATAAAATGCATGTGTTTAATGTGAAGTGTACAAGCACATGATGACAGCCCTCCACCAGTAGGAGGGGGTCATAACCTCCTTATGTAGTAGCTCTCCCTAAGCACTTGTACTCAAAATAACTTCATTCTTACATGAGGTAAGAAGAAAGTGCACCAGAAGTGGAAAGGATAGTTGAGAAGGTGTAAAGAGGTAAGTATCTATTGGAAATACATTTTCAAGTAAGAAAAGTGTTATCTTCTGAGGTGATACCTCACCTCCACAAATAAAATAACTAGAATTGTACAATGAAATGGTGGAGGAGCTTGTACAAACACTAAACCTAGATGAGTTCCCTTCAGAAGGTGATCAAAGGGAAAGTCCATGGAGCACGACAACCAATGGCAGGGAATACACAGCGGCACACCTATGGAAGACCATATATGGTCTAAGTAAAGAGAGGAAATGCAAAAGAGACCTAAGTGTTACAAGGACGGGAAAATGTTTGCAGTGACCAACTGAGCACCTACACACAATTGGTTAGTGAGCCAAGAAGCATTGTGTGGTTACAGCATGATCAGATCGTATGGTGCATGTCTGTTCTTAACTCAATTGGACAGACAGATGGGGTGATAAACCTGTCCTGCTGCAGGTGGAGAGCACACTAGCTGTTTGAGGGGTGACCCACACTACACAGAAAGTGCCACCACTGCCCTATTTCCATTCATACTGTGCTGTGAGCAATCAGTGAGGAACTCTCTAAGGCCCACCATCCTAGTGGCCAGAAGCTGTTAATTGTCAAGGGTCTCCCATAATCCACTTGAAAAAGGGGGGAAAAATTTGCATTGGGGAAACATAGAGAAGTGCCAGGATCCCCAGTGGATGCCTGCCAGAAAGGTCTTTTACTAGGGATAGTGCAATGGGTGACCATGAAACCTTGTATTTAAAAGCCAGTAAGACGGAACCAAAGAAGTGGGCAGTCACTTTCCTGATGCCAGCTTTTAGCACAATAATTCATGGAAAGTACAGTTTGAATTAGACAACTGAGTAATTTTAATACTATGAGAATACCTCTAGGGATCTTGCAAGACACCCCATCTCAAATGTGAGAACTGGTAGAGTCAGGGCAGGTGGGTTTAGAGCTTTCCATCATCCCTGGCTCAATGCAAGTTTTGTGAAATAATCATACCCTGGTTGGCAACAGCAGCCACTTAGTGGTATCCTATAAGAGGGAATAGAGTGAGACAAAAGTACCAGTGTGTACAGTGACAGGAGGAAGTCCAAGTCCACATGCCAACTTGAATTTAAGGTCACAGTTAGTCAAAGTACTAAACCATTGTAAAGTATTATCAGAAGATTATAAAATTTGCTGTGCATCCTACAGAGAGAAACCAACAGACCATATGGAATGATATACATAAAAATACATTGAAAACATTATATGCCTCATCAGTGTTCTGTTTTACATATGTGTGTGTATATATATAGGGTGGCTCAAAAGTAATAGGACTTTAGAACACATCTAGAAGAAATCTATTTCCTGACAACAATTTCTATCCAGATAACGGACTGTAAATACAAATATAAATGAGAATGAAATAGGTTAGTTCAAAAATATTTATTTAATTGTGTGAATTTCTGCTTTCAATATTGATATACTGAATGGAAAACAAAAATATAAATGATGACTGGAATATAGTGTGTACAGATAACTACAGTACACTGATATCATATTCACATGTATTGAGCTATTGATAAACTTTTCGAAAGTATAGTAAATGATAACCAAGTGTTAGTGCTTTGGGTGATAAATCAGAGTCCTATTACTTTTGAATCACAATGTCACTCCGGGAGTTAAGGATGACATTTCAAAAACTACTTCTGAAAATTTAAACTTTTTCTATATCATGTTAAAAAAGCGATGTAACAGCCAATTTAGTGAACATTTATTGAGAAAATTAAAAAAGACCCAAACATTATTTGAAACTATCATCATTTTAATTGCAAATTACACTTTCTAATAAAAAAATTATGATAATTCTTGTATATACAAATTCAGAATTTTCAACAGATTTTTGAAACACACCTTGACTTCAAAATAAATTGAGGATTTAACCCCTTTGATAGGAGTTTGGTATAATTAAAAACACGTTCAACAATAAAAATATGTCATATTCACAAGGATAATGTTTCTGGTCCCTCTTTTAAAAGCACATAATTAAATGAATATCTTCACAAAGACAAAATAACTTAGCCATAAAGTACACACATATGAATATATGATACTTGTCTCATTTGAGTATATATATTCTAATCACCTATTTTCAAGGAAATTTTTTTCAATTACAGATAATGTAAAAATAATCATTGGATATGGTTATTCCTCAATTATTTCATATGTGTGTTTATATAATATTTTACCTTATTTGTTTCTTAAAGTTCTCAACTTCATCTTCTAATTGACATTTGCCATCATTTTTCTGTTCTCTTTCATTCCTTTCTTCTATTTTATTAAAACCTGTTTCAGTAGTGTCATTTTCTATGTTGATTCCTAAACATGGTTTCTTCTGTAAAATGTCAATTCTTTTGGGATTACACAAACTTCTGAAAAACAGAATGAAAAATGTTTTGCACCTGTGATACTAACATTCTGTTTTAACTTGCACCTATTTCAAGAATTTAACATAAAAAAATTCAGTCCTAGATCTTATATGATAAAAATTAACATTTACATTATTACAAATAATAAAAAGAAACATATTCTCCTCTTGTCACTGGACTTTGAATAGGGATGCAACACTTTTTAAGAGTGCCTTTGCCAATAAATTACATTCTATATCTTTTAAAAGAGACAAACACAAGGCTAAGAAAAGTGCTGTTCATTTGAGATATTATGCATAATATTATTATATGCTCCCTTACAGTTCATGCTATATTTTGGGGTCAGCGACCACTATGTAAGTGTTAGAATACTGTGAGCATTTAAAAACATTGTAATTTTTTAGTCATTTTAATGGATTTGCATCCTTGGCTGTAAAAAAAAAAAGTGTATTAGTTTCTGTAATGAAAGTTTCAATTAATCTAATGTTATTTGTAGCAGATTTATTAATCATGGAAGTTGCAGAAACTGATAATTCTAAGAACAAAGTTTTGAGTACATCGAGGTAAAACATTCTGGTAAATATAGGTCTAGTACATGACAAAATCTAGATAGGAAATACCAAGTTAATAAATAAGGTCATGTCCACTGCAAATTCAACTTACCTGTTGCGTTCGAACCAAACTGGAGTTAACAGAGTATCTCTTTGATTAAATTTATCATCATTCATACCTGCGAAATAAATACAAAAAAGTTTATACTGCATAAACCCATATGTTGTCACTTCTTTTTAACATACAGTTTACTCAAAAGTTATAATTTTCCCATACTGAAAATATATTTAGGATAGGTGCTTACCTCCTTTCACATAAACAGCTATTCTCATTCAGTGCTGCCCATTATATGCAAAACATTTTTTTCACATGCCACAAGCCTTGAGCTCCCATGTACCTTAGAATCAACTGGTTCAAATGTGTCTCGCATGTAAATCATCATGCGACAACCCTCCACCAATAAGAATGTGATACAATCTCCTGACGTATGTAATTCCCTCTACCAAACTATCACTTCAAGTTAAATTGCTATTCTCATTCACCCACTGATGTTTTGGGAAGGAAAGATCAATCTGGATAAAGGAGAATATATGTGGAATGATATAGAATACATGAAATGTCAATGGCAAATATATCTAACCAACGACATCTACAGGCTAACAGGAGAAGAAAATAAGTTTTATGAGATAAGTGAAAAATCGAGTACAAGGGTAGAGGTTCAACTGGAGGCAAAGTGAGGCAGTGAAAAGCCACATTAACATACCAATCCGGAAAGACTGCAAACCAAGGTAGACAACTAATCTGGAAGAATCACAACAAAGACATGGCAAGGACTGAACCAGTGTGTTGATAACTGGAAAATTATTTTGGAGGTAGTAGTTATCAATTTTGAGAAAATCATACTGGTCAAGTAGCCTTTAGGCCTTCTCTTGTATGTCACTTATGATATTTGCAAGAGCAAGTCTGGTTAGGCCAATTTCCAGACCGTTGGCATCTCTCTCTCTCTCATCTCTTGCCAGGTTAAGTGTGTCAATTCTGTCCTTTGGAATTATTTAGTCATCTTTCAGTAGTTTCATCATTATCTTGGCAATCAGTTGCCACATAAACATGCAGAGGATAAAACCAGTGGTTTTGATATCTGCATCAACCTTAGAAATTTGTTAGAGATGGGATTCAGTGACTCAATAGACCCAATCTCAACCGGTAATATCTCCTTTTTATATGCAAGTTTCTGTGCAATTCTTTTATAGCAAGCATTATTTTTGTTTTTTCAACAATAGGAACCCATTTGATGTAAGTCTTCATGAACTCTTATGGTTGCTTCTAACAAATCAGTGCTGAAATAAAGGAACATCATCTTGTTTCTCTATGATTTAAGAACTGCAACATCTCCAAGTTTATGCCCAACAGTTGCAGTTTAAAACTATCTTTTCTACAAAGACCATTCTTGAAGAAGTATTCATCAATGACTTCACCTTCAGCAATGTCACCAAATTCAGCTAAACCCTTTCACAGCACATTGTAGACTACAAGAGTTGTACAAAATTCTATATCAATATGGCCAGACATGAAGTATGCTAATGCAATTGCCTCTTACAGACAATACTTGGTAACTTTTTCTGAAGAAAGCTCTGAAAAAAATGCAGTCACCCATCCAGTGTTGTCTAACAAAAAAAAATGAACCTAAATACTAAACATTTTTTATTGGGTGGTTATATTTTCACCAAAGTGTAGTACACAAATTTCTCACCCCAAGTAATTTCTTCTATTACTTTTCTTTCAAAATATGGACACAAGTCATGTGAGAGCTTGACAACTTCAAATTTTTTGCTACTTTACAACTTGGAAACATCCCCTGGAACAGCTCACTTATGTCATCACAGAAGAAGAACAAGAAATTATCATCCTCAACTTTTACAGAAAGCAATGCCTTTGCTCTCAGAACCTACTGTTGCACAGGGAGATATTTATTCATCATGATGTTCCTTCCTTGAACATGAAGTGATAGATGAGCTGGTCATCTATTTTGTATCTGTGCAGGAGTTTCCAAGTGTTTTAATGAGGTAGGCTTTCATGTTAAACTGTTGCTTTTCATAGAATGCACAGACTAATGACTTCCTTCACAGGGAATATTTGTACTAAGTTTCTCCTTCCTCATTTTGCCCAAATTAAAGGTCAGCAATGTATTTATGTTTGGCTATTTTTATATGCTGATTAATGGCTGAAAATCCAATATATTTTTATTGATATAGACTTGTAATACAGTGGCATTCACACTGGGGGTTTCTTTGTTAGCCACTATTTGAGCATGTCACCATTAATATCTTCTTGATCTAATCACATGAAATAGAAGCTTGTTTTATTATCTCATAGCTAATACTGAAAAGAAGAGGTTTACCCAGTGCTACAGATGCCTTCTCATACAAAATTTTATTCCAATGATTATCTTTAAAGCATTGCATTCCTCTTTCATTATACTGTCTTCACACTTAAATGTTCAAATAATTGACAGTAATAACAAGGCACATGCCACAATTTTAAAACTTATATAAAGGTAAAACTAAAAGAGCATGCTTCCCCAGGTTGCTTCATTTACAAAATTTCCTTGACACTAAAATTAACAACACGTTGTATACTTACTAAGATATATTTAAGGATCTACGACATCATAGTTGGTGTTTATAGGCCTATGAATCTTTGGCTTTTCCAATACTCCAGTGTTTTGTATTTCTCAACCTGAAATAAAATCTCCTGGAAACTTGAAAGTGGTGGTTTAAGTATTTGCCACATATTTCATGTATTATTCAGTAGCTGACTTTTAATAAAATTATAGCATTATTACTTTTTTTTTACTTTGAACAACTGCAGCAAACTGATGGAGATTGATGAAAAATGTTCGCAAGCTTTAAAAAAGGCTATTAAAAAAGGAGTTATCACTGAATTAAAGCTTTTATAGACCAACTTTTTTGGGGAAAAAAATGCATTTACAGGTTTCATTTTTAAAGGTTTGCTGGAACTCATTGACAGGTCTGTTTTTAACTTTAAGTATACAGCTCAAGCAGTTGCATAAAACTTAAATTTAAAAAAATTAAATGTAGTTACGTATGCTAGAATTGTATGCACCTTATTGTTGTAATCTGTTTTATCTAAAATAAGAATAGCGTTACCTTTACCCACTCCAGTGATAATTGTTTCATTACATAAGTGACATTAGCAGTAGCATTACCACTAGCGCTACCCAGTACTAGTTGTACTATTAGTAGTACTAGTAGTAAAAGTAGCACTAACGTTTTGATGTATGATTTAATTTTGTTTCCTTTATCGTAAAGTTTATGTTCGACTTCCAGTATGTTAAGTTTTTTTTTTGTTGTTGTTGTTTTTTGCATCAGTATAAGTACTTTTTTTACATGATAAGGTACAGTTTACCATTTGCAAATTTCAGATATACGCTTTACTTACTTTTATTAATAAAATTATTGACTTAGTTACAATCAAATTAGCTTCTTTAAACTAGTTAAAGTATCAACCACCTTGCGGTTTTTAAATTGCTATTCATAATAATAATTACGTAATAACCTTTTTTATCTCAACAACAGTGCCTTACAAAGGTATTCACCCCTGCCAATAATATCACATTTTGATGAAATACAAATATTGTAAACAATTTTTAGTGGACTTATTTTTTATACAAAATTATAATGATCAAACTTAACACTGCTATTTGTGAAGGAGGTTGAATGTCAGTAAAACCTGCAAAGAAAATATATATATTGAAATTTTCTGATTGCATAGATATTCAGCTCCCTATGTCAGTACTTGGTGGAAGCACCTTTGGCAGCAATTACTGATGTGAGTCTTTTTTGGATAGGTCTCTACCAGCTTTGCACAATGGGATGGTGTAATTTTTGCCCATTCTTCCTGGAAAAAAATGCTCCAATTTTAACAAGTTCGTTGGGGATCGTTGATGGGCTGCAATCTGCAAGTCTCTTCATAAATTTTCCATTGGATTCAAGTCAGGGCTTTGACTGGACCACTCCAGGACATTCACTTTCTTCTTTTGAAACCACTCCAGTGTGACTTTGGCCTTGTGCTCCGTGTCATTGTTCTGCTGAAATGTGAATTTTCGACCCAGTTTTAAATTCTTGACTGACTCAAGTAGGTTTTCCTCTATGATTCGCCAGTACTTTGCACCACCCATCTTCCCCTCAATCCTGACAAGCTTCCCAGTCCCTGCTAATGAGAAACATCCTCATAACATGATGCTGTCACCACTATGCTTGATAATTGAGATGGTGTTAACTGGATATATATGCTGTGCTAGGGTTGCGCTAGACGTAATGCTTTGAATTTAGACCAAAATGTTTAATTTTTGTCTTGTCTGACCATAAAACCTTCTGCCACATATCTGGAGTATCATTTATATGCTTTGTCGCAAAATACATACGAGATTTAAGATGATTCTTTATCAGTAATGGCTTCTTTCTTGCCACTCGCCCATACAGGCCAGCTTTGTGTAGGGACCGGGATATTCTTAATGTATAAAAACTGACTCCCATCTCAGACATGGAACTTTGCAAATCTTCCAAAGTCACTGTTGGCTTCACAGTGGCATCCTTAACCACTTTCCTGCTTGCCCAGCTGCTTAGTTTGGAAAGGTGTCCTGTGTAGTGATTGGGTGGTATGAAGCACATCCACTTCTTAATGATGAACTTCACCGTACTCAAATGGATAATCAGCGACTTTGAAATTTTCTTGTAACTTTCTCCTGATCTGTGCTTCTCTACCACTTCATCCCTGACTTGTTTGGAAAGCTCCTTGGTCTTCATGTATGGTTTGTCGTATCACTATGTTAGTTGTGGCTTGAACAGATGCATTTACTCTGAAGTCAACTTACATCACTTTGATTAATCACAAACAGAGACCATTAACTAATTTTTTGACTTTTCAAACTAATCTTTTGCACCTGAACTGTTTTAGGGTTGACGTAGCAAAGAGAATGAATACTTATGCAATTAAGAATATTCTAATTTTCTTTGAAAATTAACTTACTTACATAATATCAGCGTTATTTTAGCTTTGTCGGTTTGGAGTAGATTGTGTAGATTCTAAGTATAAAGTCCCATTTGAAAGTTTCATGATTGCAAGCTCAGACGGCAACAAAACGTGGAAACTTTGCAGGGGAGTAAATACTTTTGCTAGGCACTGTATACGGTGTACGGTATACAAAACATGGAATAACTTAACAATATACACCATCTTCCTTGCAGTGCCGCAGTTTCTTGGAAGTATTAGGTTTAATTGTATAATTACTACGAAAGGTTTGATTGTTTGTTTGTTCTTAAGTGTAAAGTTCCACAATGAGCTATCTGTGCTCTGCCCACTTTGGGTATCGAAACTCGAAGTTTAGCGTTATAAACCAACAGACTTACTGTTGAGCACTGAGGGGTCAGTTTGGAAGAACATCGGCATTATTTAATATGTGGAGATACTTTAATAACATAAAAATAAATTTTTTTAATAATTACCATTATGTATTACTTATTAATAAGGTTTATTTGTTTTGTTTTTTCAATGCATGTTTATTTACCTTCGCTTTTTCTTTCGTTCTTGTGTATCATTAGGCGTCAGAGAAACGTCAAGGACGACGAAATGTACACCCGTGTAAGGTAATCTTGAAAACAATTTTTTGAAAGACCTCTGGAATATTGACCTGTGTTTTGAGTATATAGTATGTTCTGTACTTGCTGTAGAATTTGAATGTTGTAGGCGGATTCTGTAAACACTTCTAAGGTCATCAAACACAGATTACACATAGATATAGATATGGAACGAATAGATTAAGTACTAGCTTTAACGCTATAGATATTTCATCGTGATCCTAACGGGTTGATTCCCACGTGATGTTTTACCGTTTACATTGGTGGATCTGGTTGGAAGAACTTAACGGTCTGAGTAATATAACGGGCAGTAACGGCCTACACGAAGAGTTCGTTAATTGTGACGTCGGAAGTAAGAAAGAAATTACAGTTTTTAAAGTTTAACAAAATAAATTACGCCACTTGTCTCTCGAATACTTCAGCGTTTTTCTGGACATCCTATAGAAGGTTAGTTAGATCGAATTTGCATATTTTATCTAAAATTAGCTATGGGTCTACCAGGTTGTGCTAGCTTAATAATGTTGGCGTCTTGGTAGTGATACTGATGAGTGATAGCGATAGTACTAGACAGAAACCACGAGTGTTGTATTTTATTGTGCGAGTACGTAAGTTTCCAATGTAATGATTGTCGCAGGAAGGGGGTGCAATACCAAGATAATTTGTAGTGTTGATTTTACATTGGATGTTTCTTTTTTCTGTAGTTGTGCACACACTCCAGGATACTCTTACAATTGCATAGTCAAAGTGTCGTAATTCTCAAGGAATCTGTAGAGTCATAGAATGTAATAATACTGTATGTGTACGTGAGTCTAAGAGGATGGTTACATATCCTGTGCAACTTTTCCTATTATGGTATAGATTTAAGGTATTTGTATAATATATATATTATACTATACGCGATATGAGCAGATAGGAGATTAATTCAAGTGAGCATCTTTCCTGGAATCTTCCAGCTAAAGCCAATCAGTTTCTCAGTGCAAATTTCTCAGCGGAAATTTAAGTAAACAGGATGTTAAATTTGTTTCTGAGGCTGAAGTGACCATTTAGTGGCTACGCGTGAACGGGTTTTGAAATAATTTTGAATGAAGTCGTTGTAAATAAATATCAGACCCAAAATGCTGATTGTTTTTAAGGTTTAACAAATAAAGTGCACGGGTCTTCTTCATCAAATTCGGTCCATATTTTGGACCAGGGAGTGTCAGATATATAGTATATTTTTTTATAATAGAAAAGTTATATGTATGTGCGTGATTATGGAATAAACGTATAACTGTTACCGAATTAATATCGGTTTTTACCTTTATTATGAGGAAACCAGCGGTTATGAAAATAATGATGTGGTCTTCGATATTTCAAATCTTGAAGACCTTAAGAACGTATTATCAGTATATTCCATATATTAATAGATATTATATAAAAATTTAGTTGCCTGGGTATATACGGATTAAAAAAGTAAGCGACATATAAAGACTCATCTTGTCCATCAATGTTTTAACACAAAAGGTTTACTCTAAAAAGTTTTCGGTTACTAAGTCTTCTGATAAAAAAAGCAGGACTTGTTATTTTTCGAGCCTTTGGCACAGTGCAATATATTGCATGATAAAAGTACTATTCGTTTTTCAGGAGAGTAATTGACCTCAATAACTCTCGAAAATGGGTTGTTATTGTGCTGTTGAAGGCATAATAAGTAACCTAGTTTATATATTGTTTATGATGTTTTTTGTTATTTTTCATCCACATTTATTTTGTAGATGCATCCTCATTTTAAAGATTATAATATTTTGAGTGAATGTGAATACGTCGTCACGCTTACCTACTTTTAGGAAAACTCTACTGCATGAGAAAATTTAAATTTGATTGAATAAAATTATACACCTAAATTTATTGATTTTTCATGCGTAGGGCATTTTCGAGCTTGTTGGCATGAAGAGTTTCAACGCTTTAAAAATCATTGAAAATTAAAATTAATAATTAAAGAAAAAAACGTACGGTAAAGCATTATATAAGAAATGAAAGGAATAGTTCAAGAGGCTTTTGCTTACTTAAGCACTGTTAAACACACTTACTTAAACACATGTTAAAAAACTCTCCTTAATTTTCTGCAACAGATTTTCTTGTTTTCATCGTATTTAAGTTAATTTAATGATGACATTACACATCTAAAGTCTACTTGTTGCAACATGCCAGAGCCAGAAATGGTTGAACCCACTGGTGTGGACAGTAGACTGTGAAAGAAGTTTGCCTTGAAAAGAAAAAAATGCCCCCCAGTAGCACAGCGGTATGTCTGCGGACTTACAACGCTAGAAACCGGGTTTCAATACCCGTGGTGGGCAGAGCACAGATAGCCCATTGTGTGGCTTTGTGCATAAATTCAAACAAACAAACAAATTTAAGTTAAAGTAATATTGTCTACATGTTGGCAGACACTACTGAAGTATGAATTTGTTTGTTTTTTTATCTCAGAAGAGCTATCTGCTCATAGCCGTTACTAATTTTGAATTGATAGACTAGAGAGAAGGCAACTAGTCAATAGTATCCTCCGCCAATTCTTGGGTTACTCGTGTCTAACCGAACAATGGGATTTGACCATCACTTTTTAGCGCACCCTTGGCCACATATTCGTGGAGTACATTTTTTGCGGCAAATGTACATGAACTAAGAACCCTGAGAGTCACACTATTGATACCTTATTTCAGCCGCTTAGATCTCATAAGTCATGTGTCCCCAGTCATTTGCTCTTTATTTCTAAGTCTCTCTAAACTGAGTAAAATATAATAAACACATTTGCGCATGTTTTATACGTATTATCATAAGATCACTCAAATGAATAAACACAAAAGTACAAATCAACAGTACTTCAAAAATTGCAGCTTAATAGTTCAATATCATTTTATTATTCTGAATTAATGTTGTTTTAATTCATTGCAGATGCAATCATTACAACTACGTCAACCTACATCAGTAATGAAACATTTTTGGCCTATTTAAATTACTTGTTATATTTTGTAAAGTGTTGCCCCTGTCCTGGACCATTTCTCAACAATGTGACATTAATCTGTAGAAGTTTAGTTATTATTATAGTTAGATTATTACTGATAAGGTCTGTTTTCTTATACTCTTTCCGAGCGCTTTATTTTTTAATAAATTTCTCCCAGTTTGTCGGTCATGGGATGTTACATTAACTAAAGTTGCCTCGTTTAGGATCCTAGTTATATGTTATGACGTCTAGATTCTAGGTCTTCTATATCATTATCATCAGACTTTAATAACAGATTACATTTCCAATACTTATCGGACGGCATATTAACCTACACCAAAGACTTATTACTCTAAAATAAGAAACAGTTACTCATACTCATTATATATAAAAAACACACATAGTTTGCAAAACTTATTATTTCTGCCAAAAGAAGCGCTAAGTGTCAGGTTTTTGTGTATGAGCCGGATTCTTTACAGTAGGTGGCTGTGACTTGTTGCCGATAAATTTCAACAATAAACAAACAGCACACATTTCACATGCTTTAAAATAAAATATTAAAACAAGTCAAACGTACATACAAATGTTCGTTACATTGTTGGTTATTAGTTATATCCAGAGCTTTAAATAATTGTCTCTTTTTCGTCAAAGTCCACACAGTCTGGTTCAGTTACTTTATATCATAATTTGACAAGATGGATTATTTTTCGTGTTCTGTTATTACAATACAATCTATGATACTTTCACTTTAGAAATCGCCACTATACGCTCTTTATGGCTAAACTCACAATCACGCAGTCTAGCTCTAGCTATCTATCTAACTATGTCTATGTATATAACTTTGTTTAATTAACTACATATATATAACTAACTCGAACTACATTTTGCATGTGTATTTATAAACTGATAGAGGCTTAGAACTACGAGGTACTATGATAAAATAATACTAAATCAAAACAACGAGAAAAACTTAGAAGGTTCTATTAACATGACGCAATAATACAACAAGCGCCAATTCACAACAATTGAACTACACAATGTATGATTGGTACACAGTAACTAAACAAACTTGCGATAAACTATCGCTTCTAAAAATAACTACAATTAACATTTGTGCAAAACTTAAACCATCTAAATAATAACACTCACATTAAACTTAAAGTCGTGTATATCTAACATAAAGATTTACTTAAACTAATTTTATCACACTATAACACATTTTTGATTAACAATATGATCGGTCAACAGATTCGAATCGCCAACAGCAAAAATGTTAATCAGTTTTATTTTATTATTTTTTTTGGTAAGAGGACGGACTTTCAATTGCAAGAAACGACAAACACAAAGAACTAAAACCTAATTTTACTAAAGAGAGTTAACCCAATTAATGAATTTAAGTGGACTAAAGCACTCTGAGAAACTTCTAATATCACTGGCGAAAAGTAGGACGTGTAACTGGCCAATGAAGTAAAAAGAAAATATGTCAAGGTATTCGTTTGACAGCATAAGATATCTCGAGTAGGAACTGTAGCGTCTTTTTTGACAGCTAAGCAAGATGTAACTATATCACCAAGTATTCTTGTAACATATCTGCAATGTTTGTTTAATGATTTTCATTATCTTCTTCAGTGTTTCTTTTTGCCGTATATATATTTTTTCCATAATTTCTTCTTAATCTTCAAACTGGGTAAAGTTTATTCACAATTTCGTAAAGGGATTGTGGTATAATAAATAATGTTAATGAGTTTATTTCTTTATGATAATGAGAGATGCAGGTCTTAAACATAAGACTATTTCTTTTTTTTTTTCAAATAGATTTAATAGGAAGTTTTTATCGACTATATGTATTTGACGAATTCTGAAAATCAAAAGGAGAAGTATTTGCTGACAAATGGATAAACGGACAGTGTGACAGTTTAATTTCACTCATTCCCCAAAACAATTTCTCTGTGTAAACATTTCAAATGAAGAAAATCGTACTATTTTATATTCGTTTATACAACAGAAAACCTTAGAAAAGTAAAATTATATCTTTTTTAAATGTGAGAAGAAATTCACCTTTAAATTATCGAATGTTCGTAGAATTTGTTCGAAGTTGTCTATAAAAATTATTTTTCATTTCAGTGCTGTGGTCATTCTATGTGGTAGTTTGTTTCGGTTTAAGCTAGTTTCAAACTCATTTATAGGCACACATACAAGGATTAAAAACAAACAAAATACAAAGAAAAAATGTGTAACAGAGAACGATACTACAATGGTGTTCTCTTCACGAGGTTTAGAACTGCCTTGCGATCAGCAACTTTTAAATAATTAAGGAAGTTTACATACAGATGCATATCATAAGTAAGAAAGCATGCCGATACTACAAACTTACGTCAAAGTAACTAACCTGTCAAAGCACCACCCTCAGTTTTCTACGAAATGACTAAGATTTTCTCGTCCCCCAGTGGCACAGCGGTATGTCTGCGGA